TATCTGTTAGGTTCAGAAGAAGGATAATGGTTAGGATTCAAATAAGTACTGTATGCCTACATTTGTCACGTTACATTACGTGAGGTGTAAAGATTGTTACCAAGAACTGGTTCCCATCGAGAAGCTACGTCTATTGTTTCATGTTTCAGTAAGTTTCAGACCGGAGCCATGGCGTAAATGAATAAAATAAGAACGAACTAATGTCTGAGGCGACACATCCCATTTTTTCCCCCTGATAATGCGACATGGTCAACAAATTAACAGCAGAGATAAGGAGTGGTGCGGTGATGACGTGCTTTAGGCTGACCTGGAAGTTAGCATCGCAAAGGCTGTCAGTAGACCGAGAGATAGAATACACTCCGACCAAAGCTATGGGAATTTCCCCATTGGATTTTGGTAAATTACAGACCTTTTTTCAGTCTTCTAACCACAAACCTGTTCAAATCACCATTGACTTTCACAGACAGGAAGTGGTGAAATGCTAGTTTAAGATACTAAGATGTTTTTTCACAGCAGTAAATAGTCAAATAGATATTAGAGACCACCATTTTTTTTAACCCAAGCAAATGTTTAAATACAAATATATTTTTCTTTTATTTCCTATATGAATTGTGTTTTATGCAAACGCTATAGCTGATAATAACGAAGTGAAAAATTAAATAAAGCCATTTACTCTCTTTTTTTACGATTGATCGAAACGGTATTATTGATACATTCCCATGCCTAGTTTCACGTGAATTACATATGTTGCATCACTTTGCTTACTTAGGCTACGTCAGTTAAAATAAAACAACATTTACTTTTTGCTTTACTGTACATCCATGCTCCTATCTGCCCTAAGTGGACTTCATTGTCTCCTCATGCTCTTACCAGTGAGCTGCCATGTCAATAGATGATAACAGCGTTCTGTACCTATTCATAGGTGTTGCAGCCCCCTTCTAACACATATCTAGGACACTGATAACGGCCATGTAATGGCAGATATCATTCGAAGCGGGTGGTGTGTGTCTCGTGTGCTTGTCTCCATGTACATCTGTGCCCTTTTATTGCACGTCTGTTTGTGCCGCTGCACTCACCTGCATGCATGAATGCATATAGGATAGCACATGTGCGTTCATGCATGAATGAGTGCTCTACACATTCATCCAGCTGCAGACTGTCAGTGAACGTCTGCGGCAACATACCATTCATAACAACAAAAACATGCTGCTTGGTCATATTTGACATATTGCAGTTAGCAAAATAACCTCACCCTCAGTTGGAATAACATGTTTAAAAATAAAGTAAAATGGAGTCTCATTCAGCAATATTTAGAAAGGCAATTTATTTATTTTCTTTTCTAATCGTTTATTTGAACCGGGACAGTGCACATTGATAAACACTTTAACAAAATAATGGTTACAAGTGTAAATGAGCCGGATTTTAGCTTTGAACTAATTTCCATCCTTAGTCCCGTCCCATACAACATATAAGAACATGACATTTATATACAGGACATAGCAAAAATAAATACATGATATGCAGAAAGAGCATGAGCCACATACAAGAATTAACCACATGGCAGTACAATGTAGCAGCTACAACATATAAAATAATAAGATAAAACTGCTACATAAAGTGCAAGAGGAGATACCCCTGTATAAAAATGCATTTAGTGGTGATTACACATCTGTTTGTTTCTCAACCATTCTTTGAGTTGTCCTTTAAAACTATTGAGAGTGGGACAATCCCGTATCTCAGTTGGGAGGCTATTCCACAAAGAGCTGCCTTTAATCGAGGACATTTTGTCCAAAAGTGGTCCGTCTACGTTGGACCTCACAGTCTCCTCTGGTTTCTGACCTAGTGCAGCGTCCAGTGTGTTTTCTGTGGATGAATTCCCCTAAGGGAGGGGGGCCAGTCCATGTAAACATTTATAAAAAGAACACATACTTTTAAAAGACTTAAAATGGTCAAAACTCGAGAATTGTGATTTCTAGGATGGTACAGTGGTGGTATGAATTTGGCTTTCTGTCAAACACATTGATAGTTCTCTTGTACAGCTGTTCTAGTTGGTTTTCATGGTGTGGGCACAAGGCAAACAACCACTTTCTAAAACAGTGATTCATATGGGTAGGGACATCACTGCAGTTGGAGGTAGTGACTTTGTAGCATTGACAGTTAAGAAAGGTGCTGATTTGTTTAAAATGTAGCAAGTTGGATTTGGTATTGGATACTTTCTTAATATGTTTCTTTAAAGTAAAGTTCCCAAGTCCAATATGACTCCAAGATACCTTGAAGTGGGGGACTAACTTCTATTTCTGCTCCATTTAAAAACACGTTGGATCCTTTCGATTTTGACTGGCCGTTTACTGAACATCATGCATACTGTTTTTTTTACATTTAACTGTAAGCAAATTTTGTTCTCAGCCAGTGTATTGGTCAGATTCACGTTTTTTTTGTTGTGATGGCGTAGTGTGGGGCGTTGACAGGACCGAATGGACGGGATGGAGGGTGGAGACGGTGGAATGAAATAAAAACTTTACGGCCAGAGCCTCTGTGTGGAGGACGGCGTTTGCGCAGTATTTCATGTCTCTGCGAGGATGTCCATGCGCAGTTCCGGGGGCAGGCGGTTATTAAAGAGTGGAGATCTGACAGGAGTTAGAGCCGGCGCATGATCCCGTGAAGTGGGCGCTAGCAATGAGCTGCTAATGCTGGGGACCCGGGCAGCAGAGACCAGGAGCGGATGACCCGTAGGAAGAAGGAGCGGTTGTGAGTCCAGATAAAATGAGATTTGATAATCCACAGCATATTCAGGAGAATGATTCCAATGGGTTCCGGGGAGAATTCGTAGGAGGGGCTGCAGCCTGTTGCAGAGTTGGAGCCGGGTGATCCAGACTACTAGCTTGTTAGCTAGCTTGTTAGGCCGCACCGGCTGTAGGCGGCAGGGGAAGACGATGTCCAGCGGGGAAGCCGGCTGATCGCAGCGGGATGGGAAAGACCCACACGAGCCGGCGGAGTTAGGGTGGAGGTTAGGCTGGAGTTAGGGTGGAGTTGGTGTGGAGTTGCGGGGTGGAGACCAGAATTATTTAGCTCGGCGGCAGACTTCAGGAGCCGAGGAGCATCTAGGTAGCAGCCTGCTAGGTCCGATAATGCTAGCTAGCTAGCCGGCCTAGGAACCGATGAGCAGGAAAGAAGCCAAGCAGGTAGAGATGACAACACAAAGATCTGTGTCGATTCGATATATGAGATGCTGCTATTTTTTGCTGATGACTGACGTTTAAAAAAGTAGAGAGCCAGACAGGAGAGGTTCTAATCTGGACTAAAGAACAATACTTTGGGCGCGAGGAGCGGCGAACAAAACAACGCCGGCATCCTCGGCGACCCGCGGGAACAGAGTATGATGAAATAATGACCAAATTACCTGCTACTAACTGTTGGGAAAGATTCTGAATGTACTCTCTTGAATATCCAGAAGTAGGCACATGGTGACAAAGACCCTAAGTAGCGGTGTACGTTTAACCAGGGTGTATGATTACCTAGAAGGCTTCAGGAACTGTTTGAGGCATATGATTTAGCTATGTGATTAACATGATGATTCAGCCTCTATGGAGTAGACATATGACAAGCATGATTCATTTTTCTGTTGTGAGGCCTTAGCTAATCTAAACCTAACCCTTGTATACTGCTTTGAACCGGTATTCCTCCTTCTTATGACGGATGTAAAAAGGTCTGGTCACACAAGTCTCTTACATATAAAGCATGTGCAAGGACCACTGTTCTGTGCAACTATTTGCTACAAATGTCTGTATGTGGAAGACTACTTCCATCTCTTGCAAGGATAATAAATGCACATGTATCCTGTTAACTTGGAACTCAAGCCGTGGGCAGTGACTATTTTCCATAAATAAGTCAATAGCCATGCTAATTTGACATATAGGACAAATGTGGATAACATAACAGCCATATATAATACAACTGTCCTTCTTCCCCTCCTCAGAGAGTCGCCGATATTCCCTTAGTAGGGATTCAAGGTTACTTTGTACGTATTTACTACAAATCGTCCAGCCTGGTCAGCGTCTCCGTTGAAAACGGAATCTTTTGAGGGCCACTGGGCTTTTTGTCATTATCGCCATGGGTTTTGTTTCCTCTGGTGTAATTTCTGCGGTTGGAACATATTAGTTGACGGGACATTCAAATTATCCGCTGGTTAACAATCACTGGGATCCTAGCATACTTGTTTACATTGCAGTTTCTATAAATATTGATTATAGATAATGCAATTCCCCCCCCCCCCCCCCCCCCCCCCCCCCCCCTATTAAATTCAATATTAAATCAACAGCTTTAGGTTTTTCTACCTGTGTGGGGTTTTTCTTGGGCCTTTTGTACTTCTGGGGAAGTTGACTGTAAATGGGTCCCTCGTTCCATGGGCGTCAAAGGCTGCACCTAACCAAACAGTAAACATGACCTTGCGGTTATTGTTATATAACATTACATTAACAGCAGCTATCAGAAACACGTGCAAAGATAAAACGTACCCAGAGGTAGGCCAGCCACAGACCAGCCAGGGGCAGAAGAGTACTCTCAGCAGTAAGGGATGAAAGCGGGCAGAAGTACATTGTTCTCATCACCAAGATTTTCTCAATAACTGTGGTTATTAAGTCCTCAAAAGTGCTGTTTGAACGGGCGTAGGTCCGATATCTTTCTAGAAAAAACGAATCCCCAAATAACTTGTTAGGTTGCATTGGGCATTGAGCTTTGGGGTAATGACAAAAGTATAAACCATGGTAATAATTTTCCATTGCTTCTTGTCGACCACTGGCCTGCGCGGGGGGTTTTTCCCTCTTTTCTGTGCCGTCGTTGTACGTTGCAAGGTAAACAAATCATTTTTTATTGATATTTTTGAGCTAATGAAACAACTTCCAAATTCACATAATTATTACATACCACACAGTCTTCCACAGATGGTTGAATCGTCCAAGTAATTTGACTGGGCTGAATTTGTCAGTAGTCCTTGGAGATTTTCAAAGATGTTTTCCAACATTTCCGTCACACTGTGGGCAGCTGGAGAATACCACCACCAGCACTGGGAAAGCTTCATCCAGCTCGGGGAGCATGGTGGTGGCCTGTGTCATCAGTCCACAAAACATGCATAGCCAGGTGGTAATGTTGGCAGGCACTGTAATAAAAAGGTTGTAAAATTATTTGGCAAAGACTTTACAAGATGAATGACTTCAGGAAACATTGTAGCACTGGGCATGAAATCACTTACTGTGTTTTCGACATAGGTCCTTTAGCATTTTGTTCATGACATGATGGAGACAAGCGGATGCCATGTTGTTAGCGCCTTATGCACTCATGCTTTTGCCTGTCCTAGTTACATGGCAGTAGTACGCTTGAGAGAAGTTCCTGCGACGGCTGACTCCACAGAAAAGATATGACAATGGACTGCATCGAGGGACCTGTAGCAAGCGAGTCCCTGCATCGGGTCGGGTATCCGCGGGTACCCGACGGGTGGCCCGCAAAAAATTGGGTATTTTGCGGGTGGTATTTTGTTCAGAACGCTTTTTTCGGGTCGGGTTACTGGGTAAAACAAAGATGCTGCGGGTCGGGTTGCGGCCGTGTGCATAATAAATATATGTAAATAATAATTATTAGTTTAATGTTTATAATCCTCAGACCGTCCCCGCGGAGCCGAGCATAATCCGATAACCTCTGAGCGCATCTTCTGCTGCTGAGCACGCCACATTCGGATGGCTGAGGTGAAGGCTCTCGTAGCGGGAACAGCATTTCAATAACTCTTCCTCAGAGCGAAATCCAACGTCTGGGATGGCTTTTGGTGTCATCCTAGATGCAGAAAATAACCAACATTCCCAGGCTTTTTGAGCCAAATATGCAACTGCGTGGTGTTAATAATTGCACGGTTTCACTGCTTATATATATGCGCGTTCGGGTCGGGTTGGCGGAATCTGTGTGCCGACGGGTGATCGGGTTGCGGAATAATTTGGCAATGATGTGCGAGGTAGCGGGCGCGGTTCGGTATTGCACGTCGCGGGTGCGGGCACGGGGGAGCGGGGTCCTGGAAATCAGACCCGTGCAGGACTTGGTGTAGCAGCCATCACAGATCAGCCATGACAGCCTATTGTTTTGCTCCCGCTTCCCAAGGTGAGTCTTTGTACATCCGTCAGAAATTGACCCAAAGGAAAAAGATATGGAAGAGCTGTTGTGTGGTCGTTTTGTGATTGTTAGGTGGCCAAGGGACAGGGGAGGATCCTTTGTACGGTCCGGACCACCATCTCATTACACATAAAAAGGTGAGGGTTTTCCCTTTTGCCTTTTTTAAGATGCCCCCTTTCGCATCCACTCCAATGTCTTCCCTGCACCTGTCGATGGAGAGGTTCAATGGTTTTGTTGGACCATAGCATGACTCCTTTGGGG